AGTTATATTTGTGACTGAATCAAATTGAAATTTAGATACCATTAGTGTGCTCCAGAGTTAACAACCATTAAAACTATTGCATTTGTTTTACTCTTATTGTTGGTTTTATTTATACTAAAACTTGGAGCAGCGGAGAATACACAGACGTACTGCCACCAGCTACACCTGTGAGTACTGCCACCAGCTACACCTGTGAGTACTGCCACCAGCTACACCTGTGAGTACTGCCACCAGCTACACCTGTGAGTACTGCCACACAGGTGTACACAAGGCGCTACACCACCAGGTAAACTTGATCAGTATCTCGTTCTCCAATACTGGTACAACCCCATCGTGCTGTCCTGATGCTTCTCTTAACAACCAGAAACACAATGACCTGTGAAGTGCAACACCGGCGACTCATACAACTAATATGACGATAATTACTTGGTAAATGGCGCCCCTGAACGAGCGAGGTCGTTGTCTTTATGTGTGTTTACCAGATAATATGAACCTAACACTGATTAAAACTGTTTTAACATCGAAAATCATTGATTCACTTATGCAGGTAATCGAATAATCTCCTTTACACAACTTTCCTCCTCCTCGTCTGGTCTTAACTGTGCCTGTGAGTGGAGAGCCAGCATGTGTCAGTAACGGGTTGTCGAGCACAGACGAGGAGCACTAACTGGCCATGAACGCTGCCACATCTTAGTGCAGCATCATGGTTACTTGTTCCCACTGAGGCTGTTATTGGCTTGCTGTTAATGACTTTCTGTTACTGACCTGCTGTTACTGATGAGGCTGTTGCCGATATATTATTACTGACAACCTTTAACAAAATATAAAGAACAATACACGTGTAGTAGCTTTAAGAAAACATCCTGTGGTAAGATGTAAACAATTTTAGGAAAGACGAAATGGTTGATATTGTAGATAAAGGCGGAATGAAAATGGTAATGTCATCTGGGTGAGCTGGAACACTTGGGCCAAATTGAAGGAATTCTCAGATGATCAACAAACACGAGAGATGCGGAAAATATGGCGACGTATTCTTGTGTTGTGGGAGGTGACGAGGAGAAGGAGGGGGGGAGAAGAGGAGGGGGAGGGGGAGGGGGAGGCGGGAGGAGGATGAGGAGGAACAGGTGAAGGAGGAGGAGGAGAAGGAAGAGGGGGAGATAGAAGACAAGGGGGAGGAAGATTATGGACGGAAGGAAAAAGAGAGGTAACGATAGAATAAAAATAGAAAAGAAAAGTGAATGAAAAAAAACGATGCCTATATGTAAAAAAAATAAAAAAAAAATAGATGGTAGTACTTCCTTCTCTCTTACATCTATACTCGTGGGCAACTCCCTCGTCTTAAACTAACCCGACAGCCATTCTCAAATCCCCGGAACTCTCTTCTACATTCACCCTGGCGTATCATTCTTCCCTCCTCCCCTGAACCCACGCTCTTAAGGCTTCAATACCATCTCAGTTTGATATTGTCTGGAAATATTCTCCGTCTCCATAAATCGCTCTGTATTTTCCGTGATTTCCATTGATGTTGTTTTTTGTTTTTTTATTCCGCGTCCCAAGTTATTTTTATTATGATTGATATCTTACAAAAAAAAATAATTGGGGTTCTGTTGTAGTGTTTAATAAGGTGATTATTTTTACCTGTGGAAAGCGTAGGTGAGTTACTGGTTAGGGTTGACGGTAGGTAAGAATATTTTGACTTTATCTTAGGTTAGGTTTGGTTAGGTTAGGGTAGGTTATTCTACAGTAGACTTATTTATAGGGAATTTTATCATCATCTTGTATTAAATAATGACCCCACAATCTCCCCCCTGTCCGCATCGCCTAGAAATTCAAGTATATCCGGATTCATTTTTTCTTCCCTCTACTAAACCTGTCACTGAGAGCCATAAAGCTATTCCCCACAGTCACAGTCCGAGTCCTTCTTCCTTTGCCTTCTCTCCTCTCCTTGGCTGTCGAAAGTTTAAACTAATGTTGTTCTCTTTCGACTTTATGGTGAGGTTTGGTGAGGAGGAGTTGCGGCCACGAGTCATTACCGGAGAGTGAGGAACCAAGAACACTTCCTGAGCATCTCTTCACGTAAATCCTGACTGTCTTGTTGACTCTACATACGTCTTCAGGTGAATATATTGTGGTATGTATTTTTCGTTACGTTTATATAAAGAATTGGTTTACTTATTAGATATATTTAAGAGTTATTGATACGTGTGTGATTGACGCAGTACTTAAACACTACACAGGAAGATTCTTTATTTTTATTTACAGGTGAGTTATATGTAGTGATGCGTTGCCTTCTTTTGGTAACTTTGTCTCGTGTACAATATAAGATAAAACGGTCTCCCCGGACTGCTCCTTACCACCTTGTAAAGTCCCGTTTTTTACAGGTAATAAATTAAAACTCTTGCCATGAAGGTACAGGCGATGGGACTGCGTTTATCACATTATCACCCAACTCTTTCTCCAGCTGTGACAACAAGAATTAGAATAGAATACCTAAATATGTCAAGAGATTTTCGCTATTGCTGTAATAGAAGCTATGCCTCGATTTACTAGAAGTGCAGCACTAAGCCTGTGCCATTAGAACACTCGGAGCAGTGCCATAACAGATACGTGTCTTGATTAGCAGTGTGTAATGAGAAGGTGTAGAGCAGTGTGGCACCTCTACGTTGACACGGCAACGTTGGCACACACACTGAACTGGAGAGGGTGGGCTGGGGGAAGTTGGAAGGGTAGACTCAAGGTCTTTGTGTGTGTCAATCACTGTGGAACATGTGCGGGTATACCCAGCTGCCAATAACACTTTTATCATACAAATCATGAATGTACACCTGTGATTTCACACGGTAAGACTGATTCACGATAACTCAGGCTGATCACAGTATTACAAAGAGTCTATCTGTTTCTCTTGTCTGTTGAACTTCTCTCAAAGTGAATATTTAGTTTGTGTGATTCTGTAATGTTTAAAATGGGTCTTATCACCATTTACTGACTGTTATATTGTGATGCCATCGTGGCGTCTTGGTCTGGGTGTTAATCTGAGGTGCCGGGTTGTAAGACGTGCGAGATTGTGGGTTAACGTGAACGTGTAAGACGTGAGAGTAGTGACCTCAAACTTAGCCACAAGCGTCGTCGTTAAGACCACAGTTAACCTGATAAATGGTCGCTCTTCTGGTAATTGCTGCATCGTGGAGGAAGAGAGTACCAACAGTAAAAAGTGAGAGTGATAAAGTACAGAGAATTACGGCTTACTGCATTAAGGCTTCAAGGTTATTGGTCCAGCTGTGTATGTGTGTGTGTGTGTGTGTGTGTGTGTGTGTGGTGTTTAGACAAGTTCTGTGTGTATTGTATGCGTAAAAGCCGCGTTGCAATACCCTTCTGTCTTCCATAATGGCCCACCAGTCATCACCAATCAGTCATCACCAGTCAGTCATCTCCAGTCAGTCATCTCCAGTCAGTAATCACCAGTCAGTCATCACACTGTAACTACCCAAGTTCGGCTGTAACCTTGAATGAGTGCTAACGACGCTGAAGTCTTGAGTGAGTCTTTTACACTTCTGGTAGCTGTAAGGCGAGGCTCTTCTCCTCCATTAACTGAGAGGCAACACACAACACGTTCTTACGAGGTCATTAAGACGAGGCACATGTACACAACTTGTCCAGAACGTGTCATCAACAACACTGACTGACCACGTGGTGAGGGAGGTGAACGGCAGCTAGAGGGAGGTGAACGACAGCTTGAGGGAGGTGAACGACAGCTGGAGGGTAGGTGAACGACAGCTGGACGGAGGTGAACGACAGCTGGAAAGAGGTGAACGAAAACTGGAGGGGTTAAAGTGAACGACAGGTGAACGACAGGTGGAGGAAGGTAAACGACAGCTGGAGGGGTTAAAATGAATGACAGAGGATGGTAAACGACAGCTGGAAAGAGGTGAACGACAGCTAGAAAGACAACCATGACCTTTGAATGATATAAACAAAAATAGATTCTTTTCTAAACCTCCTATTTACCCTGGGTGAGGCTTCTGGTAAGGGGAGCAGCCCGGATGATGATTTAGCCAAGTCATAATGGACATAAAGGAGTTAATACCCGGAGGAGCAGCAGTACTCTCGGGTTGTGGGTGTAATCTGAGCATCACACCAACGTGGCGTCATGGGAAAGCTTAATATGCAGTAAAATCCTCTTCGCTGTCTTTAATAGCCTCACTACGGTCCAACTCGAAACAGATGCTTGAATGTGGTGTTGTTAAGCAGGAAAGTTAGAGTAGAGGTTTATAACTATTACTCAGATATTCCTGTTCAGTAATATTTCAAACTTGTATTTCCTGTCTCTGTTCTAGTGCATTGAGTAACTTCCAGACTAAATCTATCAGGTTCACTATATAATATAATTTCAAGACTCTATAATTGATATCGAGAAAAATATGATTAAAATATAAATTCCCTTTTACGAGTTCAGGCGCCAATATACTTCATAGACGTTATGGGTAAATAGTTGAAGGTGTAAATGATTATCTAAATTAAAAGGTTAATATAGAGGAAGCAAGAGGAGACGACGGTAGTAATTACAGGCGGGGAAACTGAGGGAAGGGGAAGACCTAAACGACGTAATTACATACAGTACAAGTCTGGTGAGGAGAGCGAGGGCAGTGAGGAGAGTGAGGGCAGTGAGGAGAGTGAGGGCAGTGAGGAGAGTGAAGGCAGTGAGGAGAGTGAGGGCAGTGAGGAGAGTGAAGGCAGTGAGGAGAGTGAGGACAGTGAGGAGAGTGAAGGCAGTGAGGAGAGTGAGGGCAGTGAGGAGAGTGAAGGCAGTGAGGAGAGTGAGGGCAGTGAGGAGAGTATTTACTGCGCTGTTGACGTGATTACCTTTCTTCTTAGTTGATGATGAGTGTGTGTGTGTGTGTGTGTGTGTGTGTGTGTGTGTGTGTGTGTATCATTTAAAGTTATGAAGCTGCACGGGAACACACACACACACACACACTATCTCTATAAATGAGTGAGCGACACAGTTGTCATCAGTGGGTATACAACCGGGTTAGTGGCAGTGTGAGCACAACCTACCTCACTATGACTTTCTTTCACTACTTCCTCTGTCTACTGTTGATGGTGACAAGTTGTGTAGGAAGTACTGTCGACACATCAGGAGACAACGTCCAAGCCGCTCATGATCATACAGTAGGTCACGTCGGTAACCCACTGACAGATGTTGTCGGCCTGGAGGTGAGTGACACTGACCCTGTCTGTCCTGACCCTGGCGCCATCTTCCCCTGTAATTGTACTATGGACTATCATTTCAACATGGACCTCGATTGTTCTTACGTGGAGAGTGAAGACCAGTTGGCCCGAATTATGAATGTTTCCTTCCCTACCCCTGACTTCCACAGACTGACAATATACGGTAACCATAACTTGAAAGAGTTGAGGGCCGGAGTCCTGGGTGAAACTGCCACCTTCCAAGAAATCTGGATGATTTTCGGCGCTCTGCAGGAGGTGGAAGAGGGCGCTCTCGCCAACAGCTATTCCACCGCCACTGATATTATGTTTACTTCGAACAGCATAGACAAGTTTTGTTGGAACGACATATCGTCATTTTCAAATCTTCACAAACTGTCCCTCCCGAGCAACAACTTAGCGCATATTACAAAAATGTCGTCTAACAGCCTTCACCTTCTCTCCCTGGGCAAAAATGATATAAGGAGTCTGCCCCTGACAGCATTCAGAGCTATGCCTAACCTGCAAAAGATATTCCTGCCCAATGCTGGGATCGAGGAGATAATTCCAGGTATTTGTCTTTCACTTTGTTCTGGCTTTTAGGCTATCAGCTGAAGGCACAATGTTTACTTGTATATTTTAAATTTTGATCATAAAAATATAGTCAGTAAATGTTTTTGCCAACTAAATATTATGGTTTTATATTAATATGAAATGACTCCTAACATATTTCTTAAGATAAATCAAACTTTCACAAGTAAGTTATCGTGTATCACCACCGCCCACCCATTCCTCACTACGCCCACCCATCCCACACAACGCCCACCAACTCCACATACCGCCGCCAACCCATCCCACACAACGTCCACCCATCCCTCACCGTACTCACACAGCCACCTTTAGTGTTGATGTTCCTTATTTCGCTTCACAGACACCTTCTCCGGCCTGCACGAACTCTCGGTGGTGGATCTTTCACACAACCAGTTGCAAGAGCTGCCCGGGGGAACCTTGGCCCTCACCAGCAAATCACACCACGAAATCTATTTCGACAATAACAACATCGGCAAAGTGGCCGCCAACGCCTTCTCAGGTGGGAAAACTTGGCTGCATTTTCACATTATTCACTAATAAATATTAAGAAAATTGACAATGAAACTTATCACCATAACTAGGCCATTGGAATGGTGCCAGTCCAGCTTCCTGTAGTTATTATAACTATCGGCAACTACCGGCTGGTGTTTCTGACCTGGGCACTCAGTTCAGGTCGGATTAAAAGTAGATGCTGACTTTTGGTGATCACAGTCGTCCCTCTCTATAAACTTTATTGATATCAAAGGCGTATTTATCCTGGAGGTACTAAGGCTGCCTGCCCCTGACCACCACTGACAAGAAAAACGCAAAAAAAAATTATCATAGAGAAACGGTGATGGGGTGTAATAGTCTCCTGCCTCCGAAAAGTGAGAACTGTAACCCAACGACGGAGTTTATCACTTATCATCAATAAATAGTCAATACAAGTTTATAATAGGAAGCTGTAGAAGTGTTTACATACATTAAATAAAGGGGAGTAAGTTTAAACTAAAGTAATACAAGGACGAGGAGGTTGTCAGTGCTCTTCTACAGCATGATTCACTTGCCACACTCTCCTGTATAAAGAGAGAAACTTAAATTTCCTGTAGGTGTATCAAGTATGTGAATAAAAAGAAAATTATCGTGGGTGAAGTCTTACTGAAAATTATGTGACGCACTGGAATATAGGATCACTTTACACATCATTGGAGATTTAGTTAGAATAAGAGGATAAGAGGGATTATTTCTTAGTGGCAGATGATGAGACAAAATAGGTTGATATAAAACCGAGCAGTGAGTGTGGTGGACGAATTTATGTATATACTCGTAGACAGAGACGAGAGCCACAGGTAAATGACTCAAGCTGTGTGGAAACTGAAAGGATATAAGCCATTCCATAAAACAGTGTGGCAGATATCTTTAATTTGTCCACTTCCTTCAGAACATAAGTTTGCGTCTCATTGTCTGGTGACGTTTGAGAATGGAACATTGGATAGAACTCTAAGGTGTATTGTCTTGGCAGGTCTTATGTCTGGTGATAACATGAGTTGGAACAGTAACCAGTTGACGGTGTTGGAGAGCCAGGTGTGGCGGCCGTTGCTTGACGCCGGTGTGAAGCTGGACCTACAAGGTGAGTCACGAGTGTTATTGTTGACAACTGAACTGAAGTTACGTACTGACAACCAACGCTTGTGTACTGAGGTCAAAATCCTTAAATAAGGACGTCAGTCCTTTAAATGAACGTGGTTAATACTAATGTGCGCAGATTAGCGTAGAGGATATAAAATTTGACCACTGATGTACATATTTTAGGGTAACAAATATAAAGACCCCAACACAAAATCATATATTCCAATGTTCTTCAGGTAACATTGGCTTTACCAGGTGACCAAGTGACACATTCTGCCCCAAATAACACAGTCTTACCCAGGTAACTCAATGTTCTCTTAGTAACTCAGGTAACAGTCATTCACCATCTCCAGATAATCCCCTGGGGTGTGGCTGCGACATCTCCTGGTTGGTACTAAACGCAGACTACCTCAGCCTCATTAATGATGGCACCACCTGTTCTGACGGAGAGATCTTTGTGGATCTCGACCCCAACTGGTTCAAAGAAAACTGTTAAGTAACTCTGGGGTCAGCGCTTGTCGAATGTTCCTGGTACTGACATGATCGTCGAGGTTTGAGTTCTGGTTACAGCTGTCCTCTTGTTGGAAACTTTGGCCCATTGGATTCCTCTGATGCTTCAGTGTCAACCAACTCTCATTCAGAGTAGGAACTTCATGTAACCCAAGCAAGACCCCCTAACATCCTGTGCATTCCAACTAGGAGAAACTACTGAATTACCACCATAAATGGCTGGATGGCTAGTTACTTCCACAAAGAGAAGACCTCATCATCGTCAGTAGCTAAATGAGTGAACATTATAACACTGCCCATGGTCCAGCCTTCCCACTCTCACTTTGGTCAACGCTGAATTTTTATTTACTTTTTTTAATAAACACTGGATGAGCTTTCAAATGAACTGCCTCGTTTTTTTTTTGGTTGTCTTAGAAATAAATGAATACACCAGATAGTGTTTTGTTGACCTTTTGTTATTAATTATTATTAAGACTTAGTCAAATGTATACAACAAGTACTTCTACAATTACTGCTACTACTACTGCTACTACTTAAACTACTACTACTGCTTCTACAACATCAACTACTACTACTACTACTATTTAACGTGGCCTCCATCCTCCCCCAATAGCCACACCTTCGTCGCCATTTTATTACCGTAAAATTAAATGTACTACTATTACTATTACTGCTACTGCTTCTATAACAACAACCACTACTTCTACAACTACTACGACTACTACTACTTCTACTACAACAAAAACTCCTACTACTACTACTTCCCTTCCACCTACATCTACTTCATCTACCATTAATGTCGCTACTCCTATCGGCCTCTTCTAAGCCTTGGTGTTCTGGTGTTACTGCTGCCATTCTCACTGAGGCTGCCATTGTTACTGCTACTGTTCCCTCTGCCAACACCCACTTAGTCACTCCATTAAGGTGTTGGGCGTAATCCTACCTCCTATTTACCACGGTCTTCACCCGTCTCTACACCTCCTACACCCTGCCTCTACCCCCTCCTTCTACACACACCCCCACCCCTCCCCCCTACACCCCCACCCCTCCTTCTACACCCCCACCCTCCCCTTCTACAACCCCACCCACTCCTTCACACCCCCACCTCCTTCTACACCCCACCCTCCCCCACCCCACCTCTCACCTCCTTCACACCTCCCCACCCCCTCCTTCACACCCCCACCCCCCCCCCTTCTCTACACCCCTCCTTCTACACCCCCTACCCCTCCTTCTACACCACCCTCCTTCCTACCCCCTCCTTTCTACATCCCTACCCCTCCTTCTATACTCCCCACCCTCCTTCCTCCTGCCTGTCACCTCTACCCTCCTTCCACCCCTTTCACCCCCTGTTACAGTAACGTCCACCACAACTACCACCATCACCACCACCAATACCACCACCACCACCACCACTACTACTCGTATAATGAATGGATATATTAGATGAATTAGTGGAAATTGCAACAGGTTAGGGTTACGATTTTTTTTACATTAGATTCAAAGGAGAATGACAAGACTAATCCCGGGCATTATGAACCTTGATCGAAGTGTATAAATGGAAGTCGGGGCTAAACAAAGGTGATATAACAAAGGTACTCCAACTATCTAACCAGGAGCGAACTCGTAACAATGGCTTTAAATTAGACACATTTAGATTTAAGCGCGAGATAAATAAACATTGGTTTGAAAATAGAGTAATGGACGAGTGGAACAAGTTACCAAACATCAACATTAACTCGAATACGCTGGATAGTTTCAAACATAGGTTGGATGGATATATGAGCGATAGGGGTTGGTGTGCAAATGGGACTTCTCAGTGTGGACCAATAGGCCAGCTGCAGTTTCCTCCATTCTTATGTTTTTATGAGTGTGGCAGGTGGGAGTGTGAGAGAGGCAGGTGGGAGTGTGAGAGAGGCAGGTGGGAGTGTGAGAGAGGCAGGTGGGAGTGTGAGAGAGGCAGGTGGGAGTGTGAGAGAAGCAGGTGGGAGTGTGAGAGAGGCAGGTGGGAGTGTGAGAGAGGCAGGTGGGAGTGTGAGAGAGGCAGGTGGGAGTGTGAGGAGGCAGGTGGGAGTGTGAGAGAGGCAGGTGGGAGTGTGAGAGAGGCAGGTGGGAGTGTGAGAGAAGCAGGTGGGAGTGTGAGAGAGGCAGGTGGGAGTGTGAGAGAGGCAGGTGGGAGTGTGAGAGAGGCAGGTAACACCCAAGTCATAATTATATTTACTGGTCAACGAAGAACTCTTAAATAATAAACAGTAACTATTACAAGAATCAGGCCACGGGGCAAACAAATCCTCCTCCCAATTTGTCTGTTGTCCCACAAACTTTTAGAGCTGGTCATGCGACTTATATTGCCTGACGTGACCATCTGTGAGCCTCCAGGGTGAGTGGGCCAGCAGTCATCTTACTTTGGTTTCACTCAGGCAGATATTTGAGTGGTCAGACAACTTGCCATGGTATTCCTCTGCTGTTAGATACGTAAGTGGCCAGAAAGCTCTCAAATAAAGATTATCCATTCCTAAACAGTGATGTCTCAACTCACGGAAGACTTTTTCTTGAGTATTTATAAAGCGGTTTTATACCGAAAGTGTTTGTAAAGAGTTGCTGAAAACATCCCGTCGAGAAGGTGCTGTTAGTAATACCACGGGACGAGGAGGAAGTGACGTTTAGCTATGAGTGGTGTGAAGATCTTGTGAATAGAGTGTTAGTGCTTGGGTGTTGTAGTGAATATCTTACCAAGGGTGAGAGGGTGGTGAGGGAAGTGAGCGCTAGGGTATATTGTCTTTGTGTTAGGTTAGGTTAGATTAGGTTAGGATAGGTTAGGATAGGTTAATCTTCAGGTGAAATATGCTAAGGTGGAGATTCCTCAGGTGATTCAAAATAATTACTAAAATAAAACAGATAAACAGTGATGATCAAAGGCAATATATAAACGTTGCATAGTTTTCATGAACACACACACACACACACACACACACACACACACACACACACACACACACACACCTCTTATCTTGGCAATGTCACCGGACTTTATCACCATGGGACTTCAGTTCATATAGCCACTCATTTACGCTACCCTCCCCGTCCTCCCTTACCACCTGTCTCCCCTTATCTCCACCCCCTGGACGGGTCTAACTGAAGTGTCTCATATTTAGAATCTTTCAGTTTTTCCCAGTTATTCAGTTTCCTTTAATAATATAAATTTCCCTTGTGATTTTTCTAAGTATAGATATATAACGAAGGCGTATGGATATGTGTATGGATATGTGTATAATGGTTTATATAAATACATCTAGGAATAGGAATATAGAACTATTTTGTTAATTTGCCTTGTGTATATGTATAGTTATGCAAAATAGCCACTGAATCTGTATGTAAGTAAATTATCTAAATTTATTGACACTTGCTTTTAATAGTTTCAATATATCTATGTGACTCATCCTAAAAGATGTTCTATATAATACATTCGTCTATAAATAATGGTGTGTATTGATGTTTTAGCAACGTCTTAAGTCAATCACATCTTTGATAAATCATCTCAATAACATACACTCATATTATTATTATTTTTTTACGTTCAGGTGTTCAGTTTAGTGTCATGTAATACAGTAGTGTGGGTAAACCTAACCTAATCAAACCTAACGTAACCAAACATAACCTAACGTAACCTAACGTAACCTAACCTAACCTAACCAAACCTTAACCTCTTCCCACCTCCTAGTCTGCCGTCACCTCCTTTGCCCCCATTTCTATTCCTGTGACCATCCGAGCCAACTTTTATACCAAGACGAGCTATTTTCCTACCATTGACCCCTTTCCCTTCCATTGTAAACATCCTCACTACACCAACAAATACCACACACTTATGTTCCTCCACGACGCTACTATGGATAACCGAGAAAAAAAAAAACTACCTATTTCATATGATCTAAAATTTTTCCCGTCGTTTTTCTCACTGCTGATGTACTTACTCCTCAAGGAACCTTCACTAAGTACCAACTGTGTTCTAATTAAGTGATGTTTCTGTAAAGTATCAGTAATTCAGGTATATTTTGAATTCGTTCCATTTTTTTTTTATCTTGTCTCTCATATCGCCTTACATGTCCGTGTGTGTGTGTGTCCTAACTTTAACCAGAAAGTTATGTTTATGGGTCAATCTAATGCTGTATGTCCTCTTAAAACACAAAGACTTAAAGTTCGTGTTAGTTATTAAGTTTAGTGAATAACAGCAATATCCTGGGAGACAGCAGTATACCTGTATATATAGGTTAGTTAATTAATCGTTAAGTATGTTAGTAACGAAAATTGCGATAATTTGATGGTGGTTAGGAGTCAAAATATGTTTATTTATGTAAATGTTGCATGGTTAATGACGCTCACCTGTGATTCATTATTAAAAGGATCAGAGATTTACACATTAAATATGCATCACTTCTGTATTGTTCATCTTATTAACAAACAAAAAAGCTGAGTGTGTGTGTGTGTGTGTGTGTGTGTGTGTGTGTGTGTGTGTGTTCTGTCTTCCACACTGTTCCTCCTACACCGTCCATATCTTCTTCCCTTTTCTACTTCTGTTATGTTAGAGTAGCGTTAGGTTGTACAATCATTAGGTGAAAGATACTCGGTGCGTAATCTTCACCTATTTCTTCTAACTACTATTTCCTTCAAGTGTATTTTACTGTATGTGGCTCAGGTCGCCTTAGTTGTTTTATAAGGATTATATAATATCAGAGTATTGAGAAGAAGCAGAATCATCTACTCTTGTCTTTAATTAATATTCAATTTTCTCCTCGTGAGCTTCCCTGCCAAACATTTCATCAGTCCCCCTCAACTCTACACCCGCCACCACAACAGCTGACGAGCTTCAACAAATTCCATTTCCCCAGAGGTCAGGGATGTGGGAGAAAACAAACGAAGGTAAATTAGTCCAGGTAAAGTTAAGTTAAGGGAACAACACACACCTGTGACTCTAACAAAGACCCGACTCCTCTTACAGGTACAGCAACCACACCTGTCACACACCTTCACCAAGAAATAACATAACATTAAGACCTCCCTCACCACCCACCACCATGTCACCACAACCTGACGAATATCTTCACCAGGCTTAGGTACTTGTCCCCCCCCCCCCTCCTTCTGAATTAACATACAAGAACAGGCGTTACAGTCATACACTCAAGCCTGGAACATTTACATATCAGTTCACAGTATAAGACCTAGTGAGCCTGACATCAAGTATCACAGATCAATAGAAAAAAATAATATATCACGTTAGGAATTCTATAAGACAGCAAATTGATGAGGTAGCAACTTAATCTGGGATAATTTGACATTTTATATAAAATTTCATACTTCACAGCAAACAATATCACGGTAAGAGTGATTCTTTAACAAACATCAAAATATTTACGTCCACTTGTTGTTATACTGATCTT